CCCTCACAGCCCCCTCAGCGCCCTCACAGCCCCCTCAGCGCCCTCACAGCCCCCCCAGAGCCCTCACAGCCCCCTCAGCGCCCCCTCAGAGCCCCCACAGCCCCCTCAGAGCCCTCACGGCTCCCTCACGGCCCCCTCGCGGCCAAACGGCTGCCCGCGCGCCGGCGGCCGCGAGAGGCGGTGCCGTTGGGCCCGGCACGTGCGACGGCGCGCGGGGCGGGCGCTGCGGGTCCAGGCCGGGGCCTGACGGGGGCGTTCGGGACAACCTGCCCAGGGAGTCGCCAACACCTGCGGTGTGCTGCGTGATCCAAAGGGAAGATGCACAGCCAGGCCGGAAGAGCTGGATATAAACCCCTCCCGTGTCGACAGCCTGGTTTATGCCACGGCCAACATCCGTCTTTTTTGATGCTTGGTTGATAAATCAGGAAAGGCATTGTAGTGGTTATGTTACATACATGCAGAATTACCTGCGTTAAAATAGTTCACATGTTCTTGTACTTACAGATTCACAGAGCATTTTGAGTTGGGAGGGACCCACGGGGATCATCAAGTCCAGCTCTTAATGAATAGCCCACATGGGGATGGAACCCGTGACCTTGACGTTATTTGAACTGTGCTCCAACCAACAGTCCAGGACACTCCAGAAGAGGGAGATGCAGAAGTCATCAACCTTTAATCCACGGTTCCAGTTCTTTCATGCATCTCTGGGTGATTTAAAAAGGAGTGGGGTGTCTGTAACTTCACAACAATGTGCCTTCGCAAAACCATTTTAAATATTAACCATTAATAAAGCTAAAATTTTAAAAAAAATATTAATTGTATAAACACTTATCATCAGTCTCAGTACACTGTGAGGAAGGAAGTAGGGAGCTACAGGTATTCCACCTGGCTGTCAGAGATTTTTAGGAAGAATTTGATATGTTTGGCTTTCAGTTCAAAGACTTCATTTAGGTTAAAAGGAGAAATCCATGTAATTCCTTCTCAATGGAAAGTTAAATTTTTTCTAGCTGATTTGGAGCTATTAGTAATAGGTGGAATGACAAACTGAATAGACAGGCATCAAGACAGTTATGAAGACAGAAATGATTAATTTAAAACCCAATAGATTCTATCAATGCATGCTGCCTGCACACTTACCAGCCCCTTGCAAGGGCAAGAGTCTGACAACAGAATTTGAGCAAGCCCACTTTTTATTTGGCTCAGGTAATACTAGAACTGTGAATTGCAAGGAAGTACTTTAGTCTAATTAAATGCTTTCCCCCAAAATATCTTCTGAGCCCAAAAGCCCTTGCTCTTGAACACTCTCTTCACATACATTCTCTTTCACTGGCTCTATGTGCCCAGTCCTATCATTTATGTGGACATTAATTCCTACATTTGATCCAGGAATCAGTGAATGTGGAGTAAACAGAGTTAGTGTTTTATTTGAAGATTTACAGAAATGCAGAAGGTTGAAATAAAAAACAGCATCAGGTTCTGTGGTCGAGTAATCACCATGAAAACCCTACCTTTCCGTGTGCTAACATTACAATATGCTATAAAGTAAGTCAAAGGAGTTGCACGTGAAGTATCAGCATTATGTGAAAATGGATCTTTATGAACTTATTACCTTCATAATCTGCTGCAAAGAGCATCTGGAGAGTCTCTGTTTTCTACCTTTTTTTTTGTTTATGATATATGGCACAGTTTCTCAGTGTGACCCTGTAGCTGCAAAACCCTATGCTTCTAGGCAAAACCCTTAAAATACAGATTTGATCCAGCACACATTATATACCTTTGGTACATTTTCCCTTACAAGGAAACTTGGAAGTGACTGTAGCCACTGTAAAACTCTGGCCAAATAAAAGAGCAAAGAACCTTACGTAACTTTAAAAATAGAAAACCAATCAAATACAACTTACCTCCTTATCCTTTCCAGAAGGCAGGGTTTTCTTCCAGATCCAACAACGAGTTTGCATATCCTCCAGTTCCACAATGGTCTCAAGTCCTGAAGGGGTAATTGCCAATTTGCTTCCATTTAGTGTTTATGTTGCTACTGCAGGCAATAAATTTAAAACAAAATGTGAAGCACTGCATTTCCACCCATGGTCATACTTTCCTTTATCCACTGAGGAACTTCCACACTATGCCCCTTCACTTGTGAAAATCTCCAGTTAACTGCCAGCTGCTCAGAGTTGGGAAGAACTTAAACCACTGCCAAGTTTCACAGTCTATATATCTTAAATGTGTATTAAGAGCAGAATTTTGTGTTTCAGTCATCCATCAGGGATCCTATGACTGGTCTTTAAACTGAACAGAAATGGAGTGAGGGAAAGACACACAGACCTGTTGTAAAAGTTCTAATCATGGAGGAATTGAATTTGTACCTCACTAGATACCTGCATATTCATGTCCGAGGAGAATCTTCAGTGAGGAATTAATCCTGTAGGGTGTAGTAAAGCGTGAACTATGACTAAAGCACTTCTGGTGGGTAGATTATGTAGAACGACTTCTCCCTCTGTGGATTCTCTGATGTCCAACAAGACCTGAGCTCATGCTGTACCTTTTCCTGAAATTATAGGATTAAGAACTTATCTTTTTCTAATCACACCCTCTTTGCACAAGCTTAATGAAAAATCCTTTTCTTAATGCCTCTTGCTCTCTGTCGAATTTGACTGCAATTAGTAAATTGAAACACAAATATACAGAGGAGGAGTGTGTAAGCCTGGCTTCCTTGGGAAACTAGTGAAAACCAAAACAAAAACGCCCGTGTTCATTTCCCAAAAGGTGCAGCTCAAAAGGCAGTTTGCTTGTGTGGGTTGGTTTTGCTTCAAGCTTCTATGCCAAGTACATGTTGTACTAAGCTTGAATAGTCATGATAATTCACATGGTTAAACCTGAGGTCCAAAACCTATTGCATTGAGTATATGTGTGTATATACATGTATTGAGTGAAACCGTGTACATTGTTCTGGTCTCACAGTGCAGAAATACATGAAGGAACATTGTTTTCAGACTTCTGAGGCAAAACCAAGCCAGCTTCAAGGCGGAAAGAAGCATGAAAAGCTCCAGCTTCATTAAGTGAATGTTTCAGAGTGAGAAAGACTGGAAGTTACGCTTAAACTACATTGCAACGTTTGATAAAAATGGCCATGTTTAAGTAGCAACTGGTATGTATGAACTATTCCCAGTGAGTAAGGGAAAACACACATTATTATCCTTACTAAAGACACAGTTAAACTAGATACCATTACTCTACAAAAATAATCTATTATACTTGTTTTCACTTGTTTTATAGTAAGTTCAACGCCCAAGGATTATCAGTCTGTACTGCATTCAGTAGCACGTTGTAAATTGTGCACTTATTTAACTAATCAGATATCAAGCATCAAAGACTTGGCTTCTGGGTACATTCTTGGCCAAGGACTGTTCAAGGAGCACATGAGAGCCATGGTGCTTGGAATGCCATTTTATCTCTTTGCTGCAACAGTAGCATGTTTAGTTGCTAAGAAAAATTAAAGGTGAGGTGTTTAGTGTGGCTTTAACTGCCATTCTAATGCAAACTGGCATTAAGATAAAAAGAAGTGAGTTTTAAGTAGAAGTGATCATTCAGAGTTACACAATTTCAAAGAGAATTTATTCTCTCCCTACGAGGACCAGATGGTTTATATGGCTCTTTCCTTTAATGTTCTTCACTTGACTGAAGGGAAGTCTGAATTACAAGTTTGTGGACTCACATATTAACTGAAAACAGAGTAGTCTATGAATATTTAGGTATTCTCAAAAATCAAAATGTAACAGTAACAGACCAGAATATAGCAAGCAACAGAGTTGGAACTATAGCTGCTCTGTGTTACACATCCTTTGATTCCACCTCTTAGCAAGTGAACCCGTGGCTGAAGTTCTAAATACCTTAAATAGGCAATAAAATATCTCCAAAAGGAAATTATGACTTAAAAACTAGGATGATACAAGACAAAAATCAATAGAAATTGCAGATATAACTGAGTAAACTATTTAAATACAGTAAAGGTACATTTCTTATATGTGCAGTGTACAGTTAAGTAAGTGAATTTTTACTGGACTTCAGGTAGCAATTAAAATATATTGTTAATATTTGGGATTCAGTTATATCTGATTATCTAAGAAATATTATATATAATATATAAAAATATTTTATATTATATATTCTAAGCATATAATCAGCTCATATCTTCCAGAAAGTCTGCAGAAAACCAAGGTTTCGCCCTGTTAACTGTTGCACACAACTACTAATTATTTGGCAGTTGTACCCACAGTGATAAGTTCTTACTGTAGGTTATGGCAAAAAGAAACTTTGTAAGCAAGTAAAGGAGAATTAAGTGGGAACTAGACATAACCTTGTAAACTTTTTTTTTTTTAAATACAGCTGCATCTTATGATGCATGACACATGAACTACTTTTCATGTATGGAAATTTGCATAATAAGGTTGACACAAAAGCATAACAAGAATCTATTTTCTTTACCTTTCCACTGTTTATGAATGCATTTTGATGACCACACAACTCTATCTGACATATAAGCAATTCAGTGGGACACTCTTTGAAAGTCTTTGTGAAATGACTGTATGAGAGTGAGGCACCTTGCCTACATTACAGAATCGTAAAATCACAGAAACATCAAGGTTAGAAGAAACTTTCAAGATCACCTACCATCAACATAACACCACCATAATCATCCCTAAACTTTATCCCCAAGTGCCACATCCAGACACCTCTTGAACACTTCCAAAGGTGGTGACTGCACCACCTACCTGGGCTACTTATTCCAATGCCTAACCACTCTTTCAGTGAAATTTTGTTTTTCTAATATCTAATCTGAACCTCCTCTGCCTCAACTTAAGGCCATTTTCTCTTGTCCTTTCACTTGAGGCATGGCAGTGAAATAGCATTCATCTGTGCTATTTTAGTGCATAAATAGTTCCCTCTGAAAAATGCATATAAATCTGAAGCAAAAAAACCCAAACAAACAAACAAAAAAACCCCAAAAAACCCAAAACCAACCAAAAAACAAACCAGAGAAAAAACATATTTTACATGTAAGCAACAGGAAAGCAAATTAAAAGTTCTGACAGCTGCATTTATATATAATAGGTAGAACTGAACAGACTGCTGCTGCCACACAGGTGAGCGAGCTGGTCTGTTCAGGGAGTCATGTCAAAGCAGGGCAGAAAACACCAGTTGACCTGAGGCTACTGTCTCCTGCCTTTCCCCCCTGCTTTAATAAAAGCAGACCTTTCCATCTTCAGACTGGGAGCACATACCAGCAGCACATCACCCTGGTGAAATCACTTGTCTTGGTGCTGCAACTTGGGCTGTGCAGCTGCAGAAGAAACTGGGCTCGAGCTTGGTCGGAAGCCACTGCCCTGGTCTGGGCTGGCCAGAGGGACTCCATCACACTGTGAAGTAAAATGGGAGCATGGGGGGTAGGAGACAGCTCAAGTTGCTCTCAGACTGAGAGCAGCCCTGCCAAGAAGGACCTGGGTGTGCTGGTGGATGAGAGGCTGGACATGACTTAGCAATGTGCTCTGGCAGCCCAGAAAGCCAACCATGTTCCTGGGCAGCATCTAAAGCAGCGTGGCCAGCAGGGCAAGGGAGGGGATTCTGCCCCTCTGCTCTCCTCTGGTGAGATTCCACCTGGAGTGCTGTATCCAGCTCTGGGGTCCCCAGCACAAGAAGGACATTGATCTGCTGGAGTGAGTCCAGAGGAGGACCATGAAGTTTATTAGAGGAACAGAGCACCTCTCCTATAAGGAAAGGCTGAAAGAACTGGGATTGTTCAGCCTGGAGGGGAAAAGGCTTCGAGATGACCTAATTGCAGCCTTCCACTACCTGAAGGGAACTTACAGAAAATATGGGGCAAGACTGTGTACGAGATCACGTAGTGACAGGAGAATGGGTAATGGGTTCAAGCTGAAAGACAGTAGGTTTAGATTAGATATTAGGAAAAAAATTCTTTGCTGTGAGGGCAGTGAGGCACCGGAACAGGTTGCCCAGAGAGGCTTTGGATGCCCCATCATCCCAGGAGGTGTCCAAGGCCAGGTTGGACAGGGCTTCGAGCAACCTGGTCTAGTGGAAGGTGTCCCTGCCCATGTTAGAGGGATTGGAACTAAATGATCTTCAAAGTCCCTTCCAACCCAGGCCATTCTATGATTATTGGGATTATAAAACCAGCAATTGAATCAAACCCACTGCGAGTAAACACGTACTTGTAAAAAAAAAAAAAAACCAACCAAAAAAACCAAACCAAAACAAAAAACAAACCCAAACCAAACCAAAAAAGCACGTTCTCGGAAGGGTTTGTGCCTTTCAGAGTAACCGACTGTACGCAGGTCAGCCTCACCTCGGAGGACGCAGGTACCACAGCCGTACCGCAGGGAGTTCCTCCGGTCAGCGCCGGGGAGGCAGCGGCAGCCGAGCCCCAGGGCTCCCTGCACTCGGAGAACCCGCCGCACCCGCGGACAGGGACCCTCGGGCGGCCGGCGGTGCGCCCGGAGATGGTGCTGGCGATGGCGCCGCAGGGGCACACGGGCTGCCCCCCTGCGCTCCCCGCTCGGCCCCAGCCCGGCCCTCCCCGGCGCCATTTTGCGGAGCCGAGGCCCGTGAGGCGGCCCTGGCGCGGGAGGCGGCGGCGCAGGTAACGCGGGATGGCGGCGGGACCCCTGCCCAGGCGAGGCTGAACCGCCCGGCCCGACCAGAACCCGCAGGGTCGGCGGGTGCGTCCCCTTTGTGGCGGAGCAGCGCCCCACGAAGGGGAGGGAGGGAGCGAGCGGCCCAGATGGTGAAAACAGCTCTAATTAGAGATCGGATTTTAAAGAAGCCGCGTTGTTATTAGTACAAAATTATTGCACTTGTAGTGCTGTGAACTATACTCAAAACGAGATTTCCCAGGATGTCCTTCCAGTGCTCTGCTCACACATTCTGACCACGTAAATCTGCTTGCCCATTTGTCTCAAAAGAGTAACCTCTGTGTTTCCTAGCAAAGTAAAATGCCATCAGTTTTTATAGTAAAAGGTGTGGAATATTTCGCTATTTACACTAATACATCTCCAGAACTGTTTTCAAAGTGGTATCGTGTAAGATGTAAGAGCTGACCTAATGCTTAGGTCTCGTATGTGATATGTTCAGTCTGTAACTGGCATTAGATTTACTTCTGTTTGTATCTGTTTCAGGCTTGACTAGCTCGTAATGAACATCATCCTTGGCAAATGCAATGGCAGAGGGCAAGATTGAAGATGTCCAGAGTGTTCTACGACTTAATGTGCGAGGATGTTTATACACAGCCAGGCGGGAGTCTTTGTGCCGCTTTAAGGACTCAATGCTGGCTTCTATGTTTAGTGGACGCTTTCCTCTAAAAGTGGATGAATCAGGTAAATATATTGAAGCTGTAAATACGACATTCTGACCAGGGAGCTCTGTGGCAAATACATCCTTATCCCAGTCAAAACTGTGGCTTCAGAATGTACTTCTTCAGTATGAATATGAAAATAGAATAAATTGAAGTTGGCAGAGTATTCGGCATTTAACTCAGATCCTATTTGTGAACCCCTATATTCTCCAGAGGCATCTCATTATCTCTGTTCATTACAGAAGGAGATTTGGGTCTAATCTTTGTTTCAGAACACTTCATTACTCAGTAAGGATTGCATTTTTCACCACCATGGCTTGATATGAAAGTTTGAATAAAACTATTCATGGGTCAAATTTCACACTTGTTTGTGACTTGGAAATCCTGCCAAAGTATGTCTGGTTTAAAGATACGATGGCTGAAGAATAGTAGTTCCTTGTTGTACACTTCGGACTGCTCAAAATATCTGAAATGTTTGACATTTGCATGGGCAAGACTTAGCCACCATCCACAGCCACAGTGAACAGCCCCTGTTGTACACAGCCCTGTATGGATTGGTTGGTTTCCCTAGGGTCCTTGAGCCTGGCAGGTAAAGGAGAGAAAAAATAATAGTAAAACTTGACCAATATTCAAGGAAGGTTTGACTAGATGTGTGCTGGAGCTGATGCTATTTTTAACTCTTTTAAATGGTCTAGGTCCAAAACTGAAAAGATCCCTGGAATAGTGAATAAAGATGTACCTGCAGTTAGAATTAGAAATGTGTCTAGAATTAGATTTTAACATCTTAAGCAGAGTGCAGTACAGATGAAGAGTTATGCTGACATTGTTCTATGCAGATTAGTGATCTCACTGAAATTCCAAAGAAATGTTTTCTGCACTAAGAATTTTATCGTTAAATAACAAATATTCCAGGGAAACAAAATATAGTTTTAAAAGAACAGACACAGTATACTTACTCCTCCTAAGTAAAACTAGCACAGAAGTTTTAAACAAAAGGCTTTACTTGATGATTTGGTAGAAAGCGACAAGTTTGTCTTCACTTGCTGGAAGCAGTATTCTAAATAATTTTATTTATGTTTTCAGGAGCATGTCTAATTGATCGAGATGGAAGCCTGTTTAAGTATCTTTTGGATTATCTTCATGGAGAAGTTCGGATTCCTGGAGATGAACAAATTCGAATTGCACTGCAGGAAGAAGCAGATTATTTTGGAATCCCTTATCCATACAGCCTGTCTGACCATTTGGCCAATGAAATGGAGACATATTCTTCAAGGTCAAATATAGAGCTTAAAAAGGTCTTAACAATTCTTATATTTTTTGAGTTGTACTCTCTAATCTGCATCATTCATTAGCACCAGATACTAAAACTACAGTATGTGCAAGTTAGTGCTTCTTAATCACCACACTGAATCATGAGTAAATTCAGAATTTTAGCTTAAGAAATCTTGGATTTGATAATGCAGTCAGAGTAGTTAAGGACATCAGCTTTTCCCATCATTGCAATACAGCAATAGTTTAAATTTGACTCTTGTTTTACATGCAAGTCTTCTGTAAAACTTGCATAGTGGAAATGACATTGTTTAGTTCCCTATTTGGTTTCAAATTTTACTTGAGATTAGATTTGATCCCTTCAAGAGGTTTGATTTTCTTTTTTTTCAGTTTCATAAATGCATCCTAAAATTCAAGAGACAAAATGTACTTTGACATTTTCTTAGAACAAGGAAGGAGAAAAGGAAAATTACTATAATATTTAAAATCTTAAGGTTTGTCTATTTTAGAGTAAAACTTAAAAGCTAATTTTAATTAATGGATTCGAAATTAATTTATATTACCAGGTCTGGCTGTGTTAGTCCTGACAGTTATCTACATTTTCTTAATAAGCTATTGTTCCGTGTATTTCACATTCTTCCTTACTCATTTCCTTTTGAAAAGCATAACACATTTCCAGGCCTTTCAGTTTCTCTTCATATTAAGGAGCTGCCATGCCTTTAAGTATTTCTGTTGCCTTTCTATAAACTTCTCTTAGCTTCACAACAATCTCTGTTAACACCAGATAAGAAATTCTAGAAAAACTACATCCTTGATTTACTTAAAAGAGCTCACTGGTCCACTTAAGAAAATTTAAATACGAAAGTTTATTCAACTAAAGATATTATATTTTTATTAGTATTCTGTATTTTTTGTTTTATGTTTCTTTCAGGCTTTGTTAGATTTCTGTGATTCTTACGATTTAGTTTGTACCAAGCCTACAGTGTGGGTCCTGCACTATCTCAGCACATCTGGAGCAAGCTGTGAAAGTACAATTATTGGTGTTTATGCCACAAGAGCTGATGGGACCGATGCAATTAATAAGGCACTAGGAACGAAAATTCATAGTAAAAGCATGTACAAAAGGTAAGGTGACTGTCAAACACATGAAAGCACTATGAAATGAGAATAAATACTCACATATTGTAATTATGCCTAGTATTGTCATATGTACCATACCATAGCATTATTGTATCATAAATCCGTGGAAGGAATCAGATTCTTTCCAGCTCCAAAACCAGCTGGCTAATACAAATGGTAACATTAAACAAACAAACAAAATAAAAACTAAGCACGGAGTACAAGAATTTGAGAATCCACACAAGGTGGTTGGCATGTAGTTACTGTAAGTTCTCATTGTGTTTGAGTTGTTATTTTTAAAATGTCTCAACAATTTAAAATTACTTTCTAATATTTACACTAAATACAGTGAATGACTCCCTATCCAGAAAAACTTCCAGAAATATTTGCAATGTTAGTTATGATTCATGCAGTTGTATTTTGCAGTCTTCTAAGACAGCTGAACACCAAGAACTAAGGATAGTTCTAATTCTATAAAGAACATGTTCATCTCTACTATACTATTAATGTATTTTTATGGCAGTATTTTGAAGTTATTGGTAGACCTGTACTTATGGCTGGAAGCAAACTGTCTTTCTCTTGGTCCCACAGTACAGTGTCAGAAGTGCACTTCACTGTGTATCTTTTGATTAAGAGAGAGCTTTTGATGTTTCATAATTATTATAATTAAGATGCATATTTTCCTAAATTTAGGCTGGAAATATTAATATTTATTCCAAGAGTATTTTGGAAACATAGTATATCAGGTATCTGTCCTCCTACTGTATTTTCCCTTTGAATGAATGATTGAGATCTAGAAGAATAGATTTTACACCATTAATTCTGTAATTATTATTTTATGAACATCTGTTCTTTCATGAAATATCCATTTTTAGCAATAGGTATTCACAGGAGGATAAGAACCTCTCATCCAAATGAAAATGAAATTCAAGTAACATTTTCCTTTCTACTTTATAAACATTTAATGCTAAGTCCTTATAGTTAGGATTTGGTAAAAAGAAGGATACATTTCACCAGTGCTACATTTTTAAGGACTTAGCTGAATTTATCACATAACCATTACCTTTAAAACAATATTTCTAGAGAAGCTGGAAATAATGTCCAGTACATCTGGAGCTATTACTCAGTTGCTGAACTGAAAAAGATGATGGATGCTTTCGATGCCTGGGAAGGGAGAGGTAGAGTATTAATTTTTTATTCCAGTAGTACTACTTTTTAACAGAAAAATAAGAAAAATATTTGCTAATTAACTAGCATAAAACCTCTTCATAAACTTTGAGTTGTAATGTAAAATATTCCACAGTAGTGGCTATTTGGGGGGGTGAGGGGCAGAAGTCTGAAGGGGTGTCCCAAGGAGGGGACATGAGCTGACACGAATGAAGAAGCGCGCTGCCTGTAAACAATGTTTGTGGCAGCAGTTTCAAAGCTGAAATTCTGCTGCATAAAACACAGGTATTCCCTTGGTCACATGTCTGCACACCTGATGCTGGCTGTGTTTCTCAGCTCATCAATACAATGTTGCTTATAAATGCAGGTGTCAGCTACTGGAGAGTGCCCCAGGAGCTGATTGAATGTTGGACTCTTGAAGAACGGCCTCTGAAAGGCAGTTTGCATCATATGCCACCAGTTTATAAAAGGTATGCTGATTTACACAGATGGCTTTAAATTAAGCACAAATACAGTGCAATCCTTTTTTTTGCCTCTAATTTCAGGTTCCTTAAATAGCTATGCATGTTGAGTTTTCTGGTTTTTTATTTACATTTTTATAAAATGTCTTATAATCAGAGAGCTTGATTGAAGAACTGAACTTGCTAGAAACAAATTAACTTTATTTTAGAGGTCTCAGCAGCCTGGCAAGGAGTAATTTCAAAAAGTAGAGAGCAGTGTTAGTTAAATGGACTGCTAAAACAGAAATTTATTTGCAAACTTTAAAATGTTAACTGATTTTCACGTATGTGAGATGCCTTCTTTTTAGAGGGAATTTCTAGAATTTCTTCTCTGCAGTTTAATGGTGATACTTTTGATTACACCTCCATTCTCAACACATAAACTTAAAGCAGCCTTTTGCAGGTGCTGTTACACACTTACCTGAACCACCCTACAGCCACTTCACTGCTACAGTTTTTAATGTCATCTTACAGAGATAGAAGAGATTGGTTGTTGTGTTCATAGAAAGGCAAGCCTGATTGTAGGATGAACTGTTGGGAACCATAAATGATATTGTAACAAGCAAAAGTTAAAATAACTTCCTATTTGTGGATGGCTGTTACATATTGTCTGGTTTGTAATAATGTTATAAAAAGAATAACTTACATATATAGTTCATTTATTTAATAAAGTTCCTTATATTACAGACGACTAATCGACTACACTGAAGAGGAAGACTGTTTGCCATCTAAAGTGGGGCCCAAGCCAATCAGGTTCTCAGGTCCCTCAACAAGTACCCACATCAAAGTCAAGAATTCAGCTTCACTAAAGGTAGCTGCTTGCAGTACTTCACGTTCTGCAGCAACTCTTAAACGACCCAACAGTGAAAGGCTGACACTGCACAGAGAAGCTTCTGAAACCACATCCACAACATGCTCACTGGTGCCCAGCAATTCCCAGGCGCCCTGTGGAAGGCAGGGGGCTGGCAATGGGACACCAAGCCAAATGACATTCAAGGTTGCAGGGACTAAGAAGCCTGTAAACAACCGTGTAGTGAAGCTGAAACGAACTCCACTTTTTCTTGTGACACCATCTCAGCCGCCTTCTTCTGCATCCAGTAAAACAAGTGAACAGGACAGTGCTGCTGGTGAAACTCCTACTACTTCTGTGGTACTGAACAAGAAAGAACCAGCTGTATTAGCAGAAAGTATTACACTTAAGAATGATAAAGTGGATGGATAATGTTTGACTCAGTCTGATAGACCAGACAGCTTTGCATCATCTGGTCAAAAGATCATCATCTCGTGTGGTCATTTATCAAAGGTTAGGTGTAAAATGGTGATGAAATTCATGAAAAGCATAGGAAGAAATTGTTTTAAGTGAGCATTGAAGTGTGTTTTCTGCTTTATTTCTAAATATTTTTTACGTGTTGGGAAGGGAAGAAGAAAAATGGATTAAAAAATACCAAAACAAACATGGAGCACGTGCAGTTTAATGTTCCAGTATCTCACATTCTGTTGGGCTATACTTTAAAGGGAATACTTGCACAGCATAAAAGAAGACCTCTTTATCAAATTTAACTATTGTTAAAAATAACTAGAGTTAACCTTAATTTGTACCTTTAAAAGTGGGAGAAAATAGATAAAAACAAGTAGCTTTTCTTAGATACAAGTTTACCACAAGTGTGCAACATACATGTGCAACATGTGCAACATACTGTGAAGACTCCAGAAGTTCAGTGCACTTCTTGGTACTTTTGGTGAGGGTAAATCACCCTTTTTTGTTATTAACAGCAATGAAAGGGACCCCCTTTGCTTGTACTCAGTGAGGAAATTCAGAAATACAGGAAAGGAAGAAGTGTGCCTTGGGAGTGACAAGGCCATTTTTTTCCCAGAGACACACATGTACTACTTTGGTACCGGGGTGTGATCTGCCACTGGGGGAGATCTGCAGCTGCAGCCTTGGTGTGTTGTGTCACACACTGTGGGGTGGGTTTTCTGAAGCTGCAGGAACCTCACGGGTCTGACTTACAGTGGCCTTCCCATGTCCTTCTGCAGGTCCTTTCAAATTAGGAGGGGACAAACTCAGCTTCTGTGCAGCAAAGCACAGAAATTGAGGTTGGAGGTGCCCTGGGTTTTGCACCCCCCCCCCCTTCCCCCCCAGCAGGCTAGAGGAGACATTCTTGTGCCAGGGCAAATGCTGAGGAATGATACTGAAATGAAGAGCTACTGTATGTTTCTATCAGGAGAGGAAAGGTGAATTTGGATCACTGATTTTAAAGAGCCCTTCTGGTGGTTTAAACCAGTGGACAAAACCTGGCTTTGTTTTGTACCCTTGCTTACAGTTGGCTGCTGGGTTTTTTCGCTGGTTTTACGAGTGCTTTTGCTCTTCCAGTGCAGTAAATACAGCTGTCTCTGAACATTGGGAGCATTGCCAAAATGCAACGTTCTTAACATTCCTGAGGCTATCAGAATTACAGAAGGATTCTTTAAATGTTTTATTTTCTAGATCATTTAGAAGCCGTCATATTTTCAAGCTTTTCTCCTAACCAAAAGGAATTGACACATCATCTGCACAAATAAAAAACCCAATTTTTCATGTACTAACATGTTTTTAAGGAGACATTTTGTCATGAACAGTAGCCATTGTAAAAGTGTGCAGTACTGTTATTCTCTGCTGTTGGTATGTATATGAAAGACCAGCTGACCTTTAGAATCTGTAAGCTAGAGGTTTTTCTTAATAAACCTAAAGATCACAATACTGAGGCTCTTCCTAACTCAACAAAAGAAAGTTTCACTGAACAAAGGAAAAATCAAAAATTATGGACATATATAACATAATGTAAACTACTATTCTTTGAACATGCAATTCATTATTGAGACTAAGTCAGTGAAATTTGTTTTTCCTAATAATCTGGTTGAAAGGCAGTTTTTAATACTTATCTTCTGTGTGAATAGCTGAACACTTTACCATACACTTTTAAATCTTTTGACAAAGCTTCCTAAAGCTTATTTCTTTCCTCTTCAACTTTTGACAAATTTAGAAAGCTTCTAAAAGCACAGAATCACAGAATATCCTTCAGGTTAGAGAAGACTTTTGAGATCACTGAATCCAACTGTCACTAAAGCTCACAAAAAGTACAGAATTTTGCATGCATACAAGAAAAAAGCTTTGAGAATAATCCTACAGGACTTTCTGAGTTTGCACTACCTCGGTGTTTATTTAATTATTCTATTAGCACAGTATTTTTTGAGCAACATTCATGTCATTTGCATTACAGTGGCTTTAATGAGTCTCTTCTTTGTCCTGGACATACTAGCTTGTGGTTAAAAGAATAAAAAACAACCAAAAAAGAACTCCCTTGAATTTAAATAGATAAAAGAGGAAAGTGGCTCTGGTGGAGAGGTAAAGAAAGATCAATTATTTTTTGAAGGACTTGATTTTATTTATTTATTTTTAATTGGACATGGCCTTTTAACTTAACTGAGTAAGCATTCCAAAATGTTTTTTATATCACAGAATCTTGTTAAACATTTCTTTTAACTGATGGACTGATATTTAACAGTTTTATGATAGATGAATAGCATTAACCTTCATGTTGACTTTAACCATAATAGCTTTGCCCTTATCTACCCAATGCCTTTTAAAATGTGGAAATAAAATTTCATCTTCTCTGGGAGGCCAATAGTTGAAAACAAATTAAATTTACCAGTCAAAGGATGAGTGATCCCATAACCTGGCTAACAGAATGTTTTTAGAGGCCTTGGGACAAGGAGCAGAAATTCTGCAAGTCTGAGTTTGCTACAAGTTGAAATTTCCTCAAAACTGTATAGTCCCAAGTTTCTTGAAAGTCTGCCAACTGCAGACTTTCATTAATATTTCACTTAACATTTCACTTGTCTAACTCAAGTAAAGAAGTGATACTGCATCTGCACTGATAAACTGTGACACACCGAGTGTACAGACGGGATAGTTTAACTGGGCAAACTGCTAAAGGTCCTACAGTTTTATAGCTGGGACTAGATGTGTTGTCAAGTGGTGTGACAATGGCTTACTATGAATCTTTCTAAAATTCATTATAGCAGAGATCATGTTCAGAAAAGACCACGTTCAGAAGGTGACTCCAATGCAGTAATGTAGGAGCTGATATCTGCACTGCAAAGGCTGACATAGGGTATCCCCAGTAGAGTCTGATGCAATAATTTTTTTTCTTACAAATGCTGTCAATTTTCCAGTTGGTTAGTTCTTACTTTCACGCTACAGTCTTTCCAGACCATCAGCGATAGGGCATCATATGGGTTAAGGAGACAAGAAAATCATGATTCCAAATTAGATTTCTATAAAATTACTCCTCTGTGATTACACATGCAGAGGGCCAATTATCACCAAGATGTGATTCAAATAGATGTAATTCTACCTGTATGCTTCAGAGTATGGAGAACTCATTTGTACTTGATACAAGCATTATTTCATGTGATCGGCATATGTTGTCACTGATCCTCAGGGAGAGTTTTCATCAGGTTTGTTTTTAGCTGAAGTGCCATGGAAATACTAAAGTTAACTCATTTTTCTTTCAGAATGTTCCAGTTATTTCCGTACCAGCTCTTTCAGAGCAGAAACATACACTTTTAAACTGGATTACATTAAATTGCTTAGATAATAAACATTATGTAGTTCAGATCTTATTGTGTCTAATAAAGAAATCCTACCATTACCCTGGAGTAAGCAGATTTGATCTACTTATTTCCTTTCAGTCCATGAAGGACAGATTCTCACACAATTAAAATCAGGAGGCCAGTTATGCTATCAAAAACTTGGGAGGGAAGCTGTCTGTCCCTTAGCTGCAGTTATAGAGTCAAAATGTGGTTAGAAGTAAAATTTTGTATAAAAGCCCCACAAAAAACTAGATTCATTTTGGGCAGCAGCTGTTAATAAGAGCTGTTAAGCATTAGAAAAAGGTAAAGCTGATGTTACAGAACTTTGCTGCTTTCTGAGCTTTTTGGGTGTATCTTCTTAAATAATTATCTTCTTGCCAAAAAACATTTGGCTGTTTATACCAGACTTGATCACTCTTGGTCAAAAATCACTTCACAAATTCATAGCATCACATGATCAGCTGTGTAGTGTGCCCAGAGTTTGCATCAAGGATTTGGACCCTTTTCAAAGTTGCCCTTTTCCTCTCTCTCTGGTACAACACACATGAACATTGTGCACAGTTTGTTTTAGTAGTTTGTCTTAATAGTTGCATTGTCTCAAATTTCTGGCAAATTTCTCTTGTATCCTCACATGGGTTACTGGCAGTGGTACTGGAACTTGAGGCCTCTGGATCCCAGTGCCTCTGCTGTAGTCACAAGTGTATGAACAGGAAGGATGTATTTGGCTGATAAAATCTTGATGCAGCCCAATCACTTCATAGGATAAGAGACTCACACTCATACAAGTTCAGACCTGGAGTTCCCCTATGACAACAGGGTCCAGGAAAGCATTGAAAGATCAATGTTTCCATTCCAGAATGATTAGTTTCTCTTTCAGGGTGACATTTTCAAGCACACTAAGTGACTTTTTTTTTTTAATTTTTTTTTTCCAAACATAGCTAACTAATCTAAGTTTTCCAAACAGATTGACTGTATTAAGTTACCTTCTCTTTCTAGTTTTCCAGCTGTGTATTTGGATCATTATTTTGCTGGGTTCTGCCCTTACTCTGAGTTTAATCTCACACAGAAGACAAGCAGATCCAACCTGCTCTACAATAGTGCCCTTTAGGGCCTGTTTCCACTTCTGAAAGAGCATACAAAGTGCAGTGGGAATTCCGTGTTTGTGTTTCAGTGATGTCAAACAGCTGTATTTGCTTTGCAAATTGAGGGCACTTTTTATAAAAGAGGACTGGCCTGGAAGCCAAGCCTTGCCCTGCCCTTAGTTCCCTCACTGACCCCTGTACAAGTTCCCAACATTAAAAGGAGTACTGCCCATAGCCATCTCTGTAATGAGAAAATAAAACCAGACCTCCGTTGAAGATTGGCCCAACAGCATTTGGTTACTCACAACTACTGTGAACAGTAAAACACTCCTAGAAATTGGCAGATATCATTCCAAGCACACAGAGACACACAAAATGAAAGATGAAGAGATACTGTTCTGACACAGCTACACTTCAGAGAACAGCCACATAATGTAGTTAAAATGTGTAGTGCAATAAACTTCCAAAATCAGCACAGATACCAGACAACACATGGTGTGCTAAAACTGCAGCACCCCCAGAACCAGCCCCCTCCCCAGCCCAACCAAACCCATGCAGCTCTCAACAAAGAAAATACTCTTGCATCATGAGAGAAATGTCATCTTTCACCTGTTAGGCCTGGGTCTGTCACATACTGAGGCACCAGTACTTCAAAGCTTAGCTGGCACTGAAGAGCACAAGGTGGTCCTGTTGTGCTGAATTATGACTTATGTTATGGATGTTATTTACTTGTAGAAGGCTGCTTGGGAGAATTAGGAGATTTAGGGAATAAAATAACTTTCAGTAATCCTGTCAAGTGCAGAAGCTATTGGAAA